CTCTCGCACTGGAGATAAAGATGTTTTTTCTCGTGCAGTGTTACCATTGCTCGCTTTGAAATCGTTGAGTTTTTTAATCGAAAATTCGTTAAAGTTTTACAAAATAGGAAACAGATAATAGAACAAATTTTAGATTCCAAATTAGGATTTCCAGATGCCCATATTTAAGTGGAGTACTACGTTATTCAAAACTTGATGTTTCTACGTACCGTTGTTTTTCACAGTGCGAGAAACATGCATACACTCATGCAGATTTTTCATTATTTAATTTCTTTAAATATAATGCAGGGCTCTAATATATGGTGGCAGCCATTCGAAAAGTGAAAGTTGTTTATAGCGAACCAACGCAAAATGCCAAAACGAAATTAATAGCCCTTCTAGGCAAATTGCCCTCTTGCGCTAAAAATTTCCAATTTGTTACCAAGCGCATTCGTTATAATACTTTAAGGCGGTTTTCCCCATGTGAAACGTGTATACGAACAGTTTTCCTTAGAAACTCTTCCATGAAGACATCCCTCTCTATAGGCAGACAACCCTCGAGTGTTTTGCCATAGTCAAATAAAACAAACCAAATATTATTATTATTTTTTAATTAAAGACTTTTTTAGGCAAATCATTCACATTCACCCCGCCTTATTATTTCAAATATTTCTAAGTAAAAAGTTAAATTTTTCATTCCATAGTCCCCCAGCGTCACGAAATAATTATACATAAATATAGTGGAGTTCATAAATAGGGTCACATTAGTATATAATTAACTAAACTGTAATACAATACATATACAATAATATAATAACTGACAATTTATTAATAACAATACAATAATATAATAACTGACAATTTATTAATAACAATACAATAATATAATAACCGAAAATTTAATAGATGGTGTATTTTTGCTTTTAAATTTCATTAGATTGTTTATAAAATAAACCTATGCAGCCACGGCGCAGGATTCCAAAAATTGTCCTACTTTCCGTTTTGGATTATGTTATTATATAATAATAATAATATTAAATTACTTTTAAAATTTCAAACTTTCCAAAACTAATAAAAGCATAAATCAATGCATATTAACTGAATGAAAAGGAAGGTTATATTGGAACGGAATCAGTTTTTCCTGTTTTGGATCATTTCCTTAATACCGAACGGAAACAAGATAAAAACATTCCGTTCCAAGATTCTAAGCCTATTTTCTGATAGTTTTTTTATATTGTTTATAACCATATTACTATTTTAGTACTTGAATTTATTTTATAAATTAATTTAAATTGTATTTAGTTTTTTAAATTTTTTATTACTTTTTTTCTTATTCATTTCTTAGTCACTATTTATGCTTTTATTAGTGCTTATTGCAAGGTGAGAAATTTTAAAAGTGTGCTTGTAATAATTACTACAATTTAATTAACGCTACATTTGGGCTTAATATTAAATTATTGGGAAGACTAAATTAACTTGTAACTGGGTTATTGAAATAACTTAAATTTCTTCAGCAGAGTGGAATATCAGTTTGCAGTTTACACCTATCGGCTTAATGGAGGCAAATTTTATTAGTTCATTGTTTATTAGTAGTATTTTACATGCTTCTAATTTCAAAAATTAAATGCTGTAAATATTTTGATCATTCTATTTATAGTGAGTTTGGTTATAGTGACATAATAACCTATCGGTGAAATTTTAATCTTAAATGCTTCTTTGTGGATTTTGTGAAGTTCCAAATTAATATAGCATGCTATATGAAAAATAAAGAATAAGTAAAAGATAAATTATAATTTAAACTACCAGCGTGAGAAAAACGAGGAATATCTAAGAGATAAATTATAATTTAAATTAGCAGCATAAGAAAAATAAGGAATACATAAAAGATAAATTATAAATTAAATTAGCAGCATAAATTAATTTCCCTTCTCCGTTCTAAAAATAGTAATCTCTCTTTGCAATGCGTCATTTTGAGACTAATCTATGTCATATGACTCTTACATAATTCTGATGATGTAAATGGAACTAAAACAGCCAATAATAATTTTACAACATTATTAATTATCCAATCAAAATGCATTGAGAACCAAGACTAACTCAATCTGACTTATGATTCATCCTGAACATAACGCACTCGCTTTCTACTATTCGGCCTAGCTAAACTGCGGTCTGCTGCTACCTTTCTTACTGCAAAGCTATCAAAAATGTAAACATTTTGAAATAAGCACAAATAATGATGTGCCAAGTTGTTTGTGGCCGCAACCTGTTTACTGAAAATAAAATGAAGATTTAATCTGCCTCGACTGCCAGTTTCCTATTCATTATGGACTAGCATTCTACGCAATTGAAATTTTTGTTCTTCCTTACGGATTCAACCTTCTGCGTTCTACAACATCAATATTACAAAGTCATTTTGTTTATTACATATATATATATAAAACGAAAATGAATGAAATTTGTTTTCTTCGAAATTTATGCTCGTGTTACTTTTTCAATTAATTTACTTTAGAGAAGCACAAATTTTCCAGATTTTATGCAGTGAAACTCAAAATATGAAAAAAAAAAAAAAAAAAAAAATACTGATAAATGAATTAATACATTACACATTTGCAATCTATACGATCGCCACATTGTATTAAATTTTGTATCTGAAGATTTTAAGATGTTCAAAATGGGATACTTCTTTGCTGCAGTAGGATAAAAAAAGGGAGGGGAAGAGTTACACGGATGCAAGAACGTGTCCATATTGTTTCGCCTAAACTGACGTTTCGCCAGAATTTCCTTCCTTTATCAGCGGATAACAATTAAATTTATTTTTAATAGTTCTCTCTTCCCCTCTGATAAACCTTGGCCTCAATCCCTTCCACCTCTCTTCCCCAACGGAAGGGTTATCTTTATAATAGCACACCTTTTCCCCTCGTTCTGAAGACTGTTCTATTCTTTCTGCAACGTCTAAGACCTGTAACAGACGTGCAGGAAGTGGAGTAATAAGGATACAAACTAGGTGGAGTGCCGCCCAGATGGTGTATAGTGGTTTAGGGAAGCCTGTTGCGATACCAAAGGGCTAGGGTTCGAATCCGGAAAAGGTATGGATGTAAATTGTCTGTTCTTTCGTAGGAGATAAGGCGGCTGCCTATTAGTAACCTCGATAATAAAATGACCCCCGCTTACGGCCTTAGTAGTGACGATAGTCTAGAAATGCTATTGTCTGCCGGGGGGGGGGACGTAGCTATTGAAGAAACTATACTAAAATTTTTTGAAAACCATTGCAGTTTTCAGGGAAAAAATTTTAGCAAATGGCTCCTGGCTTAAAAATACAGCTTAAAACTTAGCGAAAATTCACGGACATTCCGGTTTCGTATAAATTTAGACGCATTTTTCTTACTCGTGTTACATAATAAATAAATACAAAAATAAATAAAAATAAAAATAATATCTGAAAACTTTCAAATTTTACAATTACGCACAAAGGAGCCCTTTTTTTTTTTTTTTTTAACGTTTTGTGTTTTACCTTTATTTATTAAATATCCTGTTATTCGCACTTAAACCATGAAATTCAGTTTAACAGAAATATCGGAAAATAATTTAAAAAGAGCATATCTTTAAAATTTTCGATATACAATCTCGAACGCTGGAGATAAAAATGCGTTTTTTTTTTTTTTTTTTTTTTCGTACAGTGTTGCCGTTGCTTACTTTGAAATCGTTGAGTTTCTTAATAAAAATTATAAATGCTTTACAAAATATGAAATAGATAATAAAATAAATTCCAGATTCCAAATTTGGGCTTCCAGGTGCCCATATTCGGGTGGAGACTTACGTTATTCAAAATTACGTTACTCTTCATCTGGAGAACTTTTAGTTCAGTTGAGTGATTTAAAAGGCGTCCACATTATTCCTTTCGAGCTCCTCGCGCCCCCAGATAGCATATTCTTAGAATTCCCATCTGAGAACTAGGGTTTGCATACATTTTATTTTTACATTAGCTATATTATTTCTTATAAAACTAGCTGTTCGTTCGACCAGTCGCCTAAAAATGATAAAAAAGGTATGGAAACATGAAGAGGAAAAAAAAAAAAAAAATCTGAAAGCTTTTAGATTTTATACTACGCCCAAAGGGACGTTTATTTAACGTTTTGTGTGTTACCTTTTATTTATTAAATATCATGTTATTCCCACTTAAACCATAAAATTCAGTTCAACACCAGTATCGCAAAGTAAGTTCAAAATGAGCATATCTTTACAATTTCGACACGCAGTCTCGCATATTTTTTTTTTTTTTTTCGATACGCATATTTTTTTTCGTACAGTGTTGCCATTCCTGGCTTTGAAATCGTTGAGTTTCTTAATCAAAAACTCGTTAAAGTTTTACAAAATATGAAATCGATAATAAAACAAATTCCAAATTAAGACTTCCAGATGCCCATATTCGGTGGAGGATTACGTTATTCAAAATTTGATGGCTCTAGGTACCGCAATAATATAATACAGGGCTGAAATATTTGGTGGCAACAGTTTGAAAAGTGAATTAACGCAAAATGCGAAAACGGAATTAATAGCCCTTCTGGGCTGATACCCTTTGGGTTAATAAAAAATAAAAAAACACTATTCTAGAAAATTATAATGTAATGAATACTCGTATAAGGTGTTCCTCCCACGAACCAAAATTTTATCTTCAGCAATGCTTTATCATTTCAAAGGCACCGACACGATGAATATGCATGTTCATGCATATGCGCAGAAATTTACTGCTCTGTGAATGGCAAATTTTAGAGGACTGTTTAAGAAAATTAAAATCGTACGTTTAAAATTATTTTATATAACTTCCCTCGCAACGTAAAATTTTCGGAGAGTTTTCAGATGTGAGAACTAATTTCTCCCGAACTTAAACCTTCGCGCCGAAGTTAACGGCGATAAACGTCATAGAGTAGCAACCCCTGTTCCTCCTCCACGGATCTAGAATATCGTCTGCCTCGGCTATCCGTTTAGTGTTAAGTATCCCGTTCTCCAGTTCGCGCGCGAAGGGTAGTGAGCTCGACAAAACCGCAACCGTGCACTCGTGGAACAGATAGCACCGGCTCTCTGGTGGTGCTTTGGAGAAGTTGACAACAAACTCATTCGGATTATACTTTTCACGTTTAATCTTTCGCCATTGGTGTTGCGGCCGAATTTTTTTCTGGCCAGCTAGCACAGCGGTTCGGAAGATGTTAGGGAAGTGCCGGATCTTAGTTGCTTTATGTTTTTTGTTTGTGATGAAACTGGACGTGAATGGAACATCAACTTTGCGGAGGAGATTGCCGGCACCTCTGCCGCCCGTCGATGAGGACATGCCGCAAGAAGGTGAGTCATTCATTACCTTATCCGTAAACTGTTTTAAAACAATACAAAATAACTAAAAGTAGGAATTAAGGAACCAAGGTGCCAAGGTGAAATAGTACCAAGGTGAATAATATTAAACAAATTTACCTCGATTTCTGCCCTTTTATAGGGCAGAGATTCCCAACGAGGATCGGTATTGACTCCTTTAGCGTCGATGAAATTTTATGGTGGTCAATGACGATTAAGGGGTCGTTAGTCGAATATCCATAAGCAACTAGGAAGTTTGATCCGCATAATCAAGATCTCATTGGTTGCAAGAAAGTTATGAGTAAAATTATTTACAAAGTTAACTCTTATTTAGGAGCGGATTTAGTCTTGTTGGGGCCATAAGCTATTTGAGATCCCTTTATAAATCTGTTATGCTATATTTTAATACTTTGTTGTTTGTACCATATTAAAATTTTTGGGCGTCCTAAGCTATACCTTGTGTAGCTTATACGTAAATCCTGTACTGCTCTTACTCAAAACACGTGAATACACCAAGGTTTAGAATTTAAAGTCATTCAAAAGAAATATCCCAAAATTAAAGTTATTGCTTAAAACACTATTAGTGTTTCCCTCTTCTTACCTAGAGGAATTAGACTTTAGTGAGTCAATAATTTATCTCACAAAAGAAGAAACAAGTTCAATATTTTTAACAAGGTGACTTAAAAATTAGTTTGAGCAAATTTGTGCCACATAATTAAAAAATATCATCAATACTCTCAACGTAGCCGTTACATTAATTGAAATCGAACTAACTTTTTTCTATTTGTAAAATTAAAAATAATAAAGAATAAATGTAATAAACCACATTTTCGCAAATAATAAAAAATACATGTAATAAACATATTTTTGAAAATAATAAAAAATAAATATAATAAGCCATATTTTTGAGAATTTTTGTTCATATTAATATATCGTATGCTGTATATTATAGAGAAAAAGATGAAAGGATCGATGAGGAAAATCATTCTTTTAAAAAGAATCTGTGCAAGAAAATGTTTGGGAATCCATAGTCTACGAAATCGGAGATTGGAAAATCTTGATGTAACAATATGAGGAGAAAATAATATATGCTTTACTTTACTTTACAAAAGCTTTACTTTACTTTTAAAGTAAAGTAAAGCTTTTGTAAGCACTTGGTCTAAAATTTAAATTTTAGGGATCATTAGAGAATTAAAAGAAAATTAATTAAAACTAGGTATATAAATGTTTTATAACACAGCCTTATTTATTAATTAAATATTACGAGTTTATCATGAACACATATTGTACATATTTTTCATTTGTAAAATATATAGAGAGAAATTACATTTGTAAAAACAAATAAGAAAAGTTACTGAGAAAAGCCGTAGTTCTTTGTACGATTGTTCTGACAAGAATATTATTGTAAACGTGTAATGAATAATACTTTACTATTTTTTTTAATATATATATATTCTTCGAGTATCTAACCTATTCTACTGAATTATCTTTGATATTCTAATGTTATACAGAACGTATATTTTATTAGTGATCAATTTAAATTTCCTTTACGTGGCCAGTTTTGAATTAAAAACTATCCTTTCTTTTTTAAGAATAAACGTGGAAAAATAATCAAGAAATAGAATTTGTTTCTTTTTTTCTACCCAAACTTTTCTCTTTAGTGTTATTTTTCCTCAAATTTTTATTCTAATTTTTTATAAGCTGCGCGAAACAAATGAGTTTCGTTACGTTGTTCTCTGCTAAGAATTGCTTTACTTAAATAACCACGTTTTCATCAACTGTTTGCCTCCATCTCTCTTCATTCTGGCATGCCACTTATCTCTCAAATGTAAGCGAAATAAATACCGGCCATTCTGACTCGTACAGTAATTTGCATTTTGCTACGAAGCATTCTTCTCTAATCAACAGATTTTTCAAAATTATATTAAATTTACACTTCAACTTCGGTACTTACATATTAACGCAATCACCTCAGTAGAAATCGCCAAATTTTTAAAATGCGCCAAACCCTGGCATCCGTGCTCGTAACAGCTCTTTAGTTTTAGCAAGCAAAGCTGCAATTTTCTTGAAACATTCTTTTTTGTTGTGTTCGAACGGCTTTTATAGAAAAATTGGGATTTTTTTTTCCCCCGTCTTAAACTTTGTTTTAAAATATGTGTTTGTGGGATTAACCTGCAGTGCAAGAAACTGTTCCAAAAACTACTGCTGTAGGAGTATTTTGACACCAGCTCGCTTAAAGGGAGCAATTGCCTTTAATTCTTCCGTAGTGCGATAGTCACGAATTTTCCGACCTTTTTTCACGTTTAATCGGCTAAAATTGAATATAGATGAAACTTGAGATTTTACAACCATTTGCATAGAAAGACGAAAATCATTAAGAACTGCGTGCCATTGTTGCTGATATAATGAGACAGAATTAGCTTATTTTTCTATCGAAATTTTTAATGCAGTTCCATATCGTATCAGAATGAAAAATGTATGACTATGAATCGTATTTTTTGCATCGTTACTAGAGAAGGATTGTGTTGTTATTAATCTAACTTAACTGGCATCGGGTACTTTCGCTAGTGTAATATAAAAATAGAGACGAAGATGTGTATTGATTATAGGAAATATATATATGCTTTATACGGCCGTAAGTCTCTTGATTTAAAGGAGAGGGATTTTACATAATACTGATGGATGGAAGAGATAAAATTTCTCACCTACTGACTTTCGTTTCTGGACAATTGTCCCATAATCAGCACTCTGGTGTTAGCACTGCCGGGGGAGATGGCCCCGAAAATTCAATCAAAACAGGCTGCCCACTAACAATAACAGGAACTCATTGTCACTTTCTTCACAGTCTCTTTCATAGCGCGCGTGAGGCAGAGAGCCCTGTCAGTCAAAGAATAACCCCTCTGAGTTATTTATTCCTCCGCGAGAAAGCATGCAGCCTCTCCGTCTGTCCCTTCCTTATCTGTTCTTCCTGCCCGGAATTTGTTGAGGGGGGGATAGGCATGTGTCATTATTTCTTTTGCCCTCTGCAAAGGTTTTGTGCCTAGAAGGGGGGGGGGTACATTGTGACACTTTCTCTATGAGGACGCCTCCTGGGGCGATGGGTAGGGGCCATTCGTGTCTGCTTGGCGTGGGAGCTCGAGACCTCTGGGGACACGCGCCTTCGTGTGAAATGTGGGGAGCGGCGACGTATTCCCCACACTTGTGTAGGTATTCGTAATATGTCTACAAACGAGTGTAATCATAGAATGTAATTTTTTAAGACTACTCACGATCCTACCCACTTATTTGCACATTCTTTTCTTTTGGAAACGAAACTTTGTTCTACATCCTTCCCACCCATTTAAAAAAAAAAAAAAGAGAAAAGAAAAGAAAACAGCAGGGGGGAGGGAGAAAAACGGGAATCGAAAATCAGTGATCAGTGTTTTCTAAAATGTAAGGATTCTATAATATTTACGTTTTATAGCTAAGTATTTTGTTTACTTAGAAAATAAGACTCATCAGCGCTGGAGTGGTAAAGTCATCGAACATTGGTAGGTTGACCCAGTTCTCTGCCAACGCCTCGCTGCATGGGTGTTTTCTGACTTTCCTCATGCGTAACGTGGATACAAGCCAATTTCCCTTAGAAATTCCCCTACGAAGATACACATCTCCGTAGGCAGACAGCTCTCGCATGCGTTGCTGTAATGAAACAAACGAGCCAAAAAATTATAATTTTATAAAATTGTTAATTTTGATTAATGTTATTGCTCACGTAATTTTTAGAATTACCCGAAATTTTACGTTCAGAGATGCGTAATTGTAATGTTGATCATGTCGGTCAAGATGCTTTCATATTTTTGTAAACTTTTGGTTGTCTCTCTCTTTTCCTACTGTTGCAGTAATATTAGTTTTATAGCGGGCCAGGTTCACGGTGATGAGAAGGAATAAAGGACTGTTAATTCAGACTCCGTTGGGGGCATGCATAGTCGCCACAGCTGGGCAGAATATGAATGAATATTCATATATGTTTAAAGTTTTTCATTTTCGGCATGTGCAAATGTTTAATTTCTGTGCATTCGCTATATTTTTCGACTAAAATAATTTACAATAACTTAGCGTATTTTTTTACGGAAGGAATAAGTATAAATTCGAAGAAATTACATGTATTTTTAATATGCACGTCAAAGTAAGTTTTCTTCGAAAGTTCTTCACGAAGACATCGCTCCCCTTAGGCAGACAGTTCTTGCATGCTTTACCCTATTCAAAAAACGTAACCTGACCAATGTGCGTAATTACAAATATTTTAACATATGTTACATTTAGTCCACGTTTCAAACTTTTCACGTAAAACAAATTTTTGGATGCATTCATTAACAAATTTAAATTTTCTGGTAAATATATTTTGGCAGAGCATTCAATATCTCTCTTAGGAATTTGACTCAATCCTTTTAGCACCAACCTCTTAGCAATTTTACCCATTTCGGCATTTTTTCATTATGGCCCGGAGAGCAAATATTGTAGTATGCTCCAGTAATCCATTCTTTGGCTATAAATGAGACCTGAAGAGGTCAGAAACCGAGCATGAACAACACCTTCTTAAACAGTTGGCATGAACCTCGAATTTCCGGGAAGAAAAGACTTGCCTGGGAAACATTTAACAATCTGGAATGAATAAGAGGATCGATCATTCAAGATAAGAGGACCTCCTACGACGGAATGCACAAAAGGGTTTTCACCTCCGAGGATCACCATATTTTCAAATTCTTAATAAGCTGTCACGATGAAGTATCAAGTTCACATGGTCACACCACCTTGATCGGACATGGTACTTCCGCTGTACTGGCAGATGTTTTTGTGTACAGTTTTACACAAATATATGATTGCAAATGAAGGAAAAGTTGACGTATTAGGATATATATCGAGTGCTGCTTTACACCTTTATTCCAGATGCAGCTTCGGTTTAACTTTCTTTCACGAAGGCTTGTTAATGGCGTCAGCCACGTCGTCTCCAAACC